CAGGCTGAAGGCTGCTTTAAGCTTCGTGCGGATGCGAGCAAGGCCATTGCATTCACAACCAAACGCACATCTCGTGGTCCAAGCGGGCCTGGTTGCGATTTTGTGGGCAACCAAACGCATCCTTAGACTCGCGTCTTACTTACGCCAACTGGTGCCTTTCTCTAAGAGTGTTTTCATCCAATCCAAAAGCATAAAAGGCCACTATGGAATATACATGAGGTAATATCACCACAGGTCATAGAAGTTGTGTTGGATGTTCAGTTTGGTGATAGAACTTTAAAAATATGGATTTGTGGTCATTTAACTTGCATTCTCGTGCAAATACGGTCACTTTATTCGTATCTGGACGTATCCTGCGGTTACTTGGCAAGCCAACATGGCTATGGTCCACTGTCATTGACCGGAACCATTTGTGCAGAAACACCCCACGTTTGTATTTAATTGCACAGAAGCCCCCTTATCAGCACATGTGGGTCCTGCTTGACAGTGAAATGAGAACTAAAAATGTGCCGTGCACGTCACGCTTGACATAGAATTGAGAAACAAAATGGCAGCTTGGGGCTCGAACTCGCGATGCCATGCAAGCACATGGCCTGTGCCAACCACTACACCAAGCACGTCTTTAAAAAGAATTAACTTACCTCTCAGAAAAAAGAATTAACTTATTTTTCTATATAGTCAAAGCAAAGTTTAGATGGTCACCTACTTGATGCGCAGTACTAACGACTGGAACGTGCCCAAGCTTTGTTCTTTTCTAGTTTCAATTTATATATTTTAACGCAAAAAATTGAATTTTAAACCCATTTGAACAAATTCTGGTGAAAAATATCCGCTCATCCTCGAGTTGTCGTCGTTGCCAACATATAAAATTCTATGTTTCTCCTTAGACACATGAATAAGTACGAATTTCTAAATGGCAAAAAAATCGCTCACCCTCGAAATGGTTAAAAGTTCTTTCAGGCAAATCATCTATTTTTTGTTTGAATTGAAATAATTTAAAATTGAAAAGTCTAGATAAAATAAAACATAGCGCTTAATGAATATATCATTTTTATCCTGATGTTAGTCCATTAAATACTAGCAACTGGCCCAGGTTTGAATCTTGTGTAGGTTATATTTTTGGCAAAAAAAAAACACATTCGGTACAAAAATAATCAAAATGTTTGTGCCTCATGATTTGAATTCTAGACCTAGAGGTGTGAAGGAAACTAATCTACCGCAGCAGTACAAAATTGAATTTTATCTTTAAGTGATCCAAGTCCATTTTGACACAGGAGTTCAAATCAACCATAAAATATTTGAGCGGAAATTTAAAAAAGTTGTGCACCCTCTAAATTCGTTTAGATAACTTGATATTAGAGCAAGCTTATTGTTAACATCATCGTTGTCTTTGTATATGCTTGAAATTATTGTTGTCCAGGCTGAAAAAATGCCGACCACCCCGTCGAACCCTAACCCGCCCCTAGGCTGAAAGAATGAATTTATTTGTCGGGTTAAACAATATAACAACAGATGCATCTCATTACTAGACAGCAAAGGACCAACGGTGTGGTGTTTAGCACGTGAGACCGTAGTGAAGAGGTTGATTAATTTTTAAATCTTCAAATCTTTCTCCTGTCCACTGGCAGGTGGGTCACACATAGACATACTTAATTACCTATATTTATTAGCATGTGCGAATGAATTACACAGACATAATTATCAAAAAGAGGGTGTTTCTGTAAAAGGACATCACACATGTCACACTAACACATCCGCCCCCAAGAGTCACTGAGAGTTGGCTCATGCATGTGTGGCGCCGCCGCACGCAAGCAGCGGATACGCCCACGTACACGTTTGTGACCGTATTTGCACCAGAACACAAGTTGGGTAACCAGAAATCCGTATTTTTAAAGTTCTAGCACCAAACTGAACATACAGAGCAAGTTCTATGACTCCCGGTGATATTACCTCAATATACATTTTACATCTATACAAGGCCACCAACAGTAATCGAGGCAAAATTAATGATATTTCCTCGTACTAGCAACATGTTTAATACTTGCATGCGAGTAGTCATAATAACAGACAGTTGTTTCTTCCACTCAGTTTCCTTGCATGCATGTGGCGTATGAATGATTCCAGTAAACGAAAAGAAAAGCTGACTTGCAAAGCAGGCATTAAATTTTACATTGATACATGTAATCTAAGTTTGTAGCTTTGTATATAAAAATGAAGGGAGTAACTTTTTTGTTTGTTAAGAATGCCGTCTCTAACCCGCAGAAACACAAGGAGCCTTTTAACTCGGTGTCTTGGATTTATTGACTGGGAGTTGGTTTGGCATCTGGTGGTGTGGTATCATTTGTCTACTCTGGGCTACTACTTCCTCCTAGGTCATGGCTAACGGGGAATTGGGCCCGAGATTCTTTCACCGGCGAGGCATCAGACAAGGCGACCCTCTCTCCCCGAAGCTCTTCAAGATAGCAATGCTCCCTCCACTAGTTGTTCAACAAAGCTTGCTCGGTTGGCACACTTGCCCCAATTCAGCTGCCAACTTCACTTATGCAATAAGTTACGGGCATATCTTGTGGTTGAAACATCACTTTTGCTAGACTTGTTGGGGACATTTCAACATGATATCCCAAATTCCACATGCCATGCATCCCAATTTAAATGTGATGACATGATAATACAAGCTGATGCAGTGTAGATTTTATTTATAGATAAATGAATTTGCGGAAACAGACCACTGCATTGCTGTGCATAATGAAAAGAATATGCTTACTTTCAGTTCATCTATATCATCTTTGTGATACATTGATGCACTGCTCAATATATCTTTTTCGAAAGTGCCTTGTGTTGTGTTACCAAAATATCCCATAAGAGAAGCTGCCTCCCTCCTAGATAACACAACAATTCCACTAAACTCAATCCGCTAATAACCTCCCGCTGGAATTATCGAACATTTGTACAGTGTGTTTTGCAGAATAAATTATATCAAAAATTGCTTGACAGAATAAAGCCAGGGGCCTGAGCCTTTCCTGGCATTTGCTATATTCTTCCTGTTGTCTACAAAATTGTCACGTTAGTGCAACCTAAAGAGAGATTTGCACGACCAAATGAACAATCAAGAATGACGGACCCGAGCTGTGCCATCACAAAAAACAGAGTTGGGAAATCTTTTACCCTGTCTTGAGAAGAACCTATGATCTCTTTACAACTGCGACCGCAAAGTGGGGGTGGTGCGTAAACTCAAACGAAACCCTCAGTTTCGGGTCGCTAGCACCGACGTGGTTGATGATGTTTAGGGCTATCCTATTGTGCTCGGCAACCTGTTCAATCTGGCGGAGCTCTGCAAGCTTTTCTGGTTCGCTCGCAAAACTACCTTTCAAGGAGGGGATGATCTTCTGGATTTCCTTGAAAAAGTTGTACTTCATTACGTCCTGTGAAAAATATTGCACGGTTAGGTTCAAATAAGCAGAGGAAAAGACTAGTGAAAGGGGGATTTCAAGGCTGAGTACTGACTGCCATGTGTGCCTGGGCGGCCGCTTCCTGAAAACTGTAGTAGGTAATGCACTCGGGGATTTGTGCTTTCTGGAGAAGATCGAAATGCTGCATGAATCTCTGCAAAGAGTGCTTCAAGATTCGTCAAAGTCATCTAAAGACATGTTAAGAAGGATCGGAATTCACAAACACTAAATCTGACCCACCTCTTGTTCAGTATTGAAGACACTTGGTAACTGGAATGACTTGCTTTCCTTTCTCAGGGCAGCCAGCAACTGCATTAGCAAACAGAAAAATGTTGTTTAGTTGCAACAGGGAACGGTGGTATATTATTATTATAATATACACTCTGTGACTGTTCTACGCTGCCGGGGAGGGAGGGGGCATTAGTGCCATATGTACCATTGAAAGTCCTTCTGATAATAGAACATAGCACTGAAGCAATAAACATGAAGGAGGAAATGGTGCGTCTCGTACAGAGTCCTTTGAGTGATCCTTCTTCTTTTTCCCTTTTCTTCGCGCTGAACCAATAACAATAAGGACCATTTAGAAACCCCAATCTACCAAGAGAATATTGATAAAGATGGCATGGTATTTTATAGAAACTGGTTAGGAAACAACATCGAATGAATTTTCTCCATAATGGTTGTTACCACTTACCAGTAACAACACATGAATATTATAACCAAATATACCCCCAAAACAGGAGGTTTTGATTTGATGTAATTACATATTTCATTCTGTCTAATCTCCTTTTCAACTTCAGGATGACAATGTGTGCTTATTTATTTATAAACTGCCTCCCGTTTGAATTCTGCAAATTATTTTCCTGTAGTCTTCTTGTTCTCTTAATTCTATTGTTTCCCAAATGGATTCTAAGAGGCAGATACATGAAGCAGTAAGATGCACAACATGCAACTCAAACCATCAAGGTGCTGACATATCTGATAGACATCCAGAATGCTACATGGTCATTTTTATAGTATACCCTGCTAGATTGGAAATCTACCAGCACATCATCTACCTGTAAGTCTAATGACAATAATCTAATGAAAAATTCTGAACAGGCATGATAACTTACAGTTTTCGTTGCTAGCAAGGATTCGTAACTGCATCTTCTCTATCAGCTTTATAAACACCACATGCATATACCAGTACACCATACAGTATTCACTCGGAGAATAGAGGTCAAGCTCAAACCCCAATATGAGAAACCGAGAAGCAATCCAGTATGTATGTTCTTGAGACCAAACAAGTAGTTGCTTTGATACTCTCATGCACATGTTCTGCACCACCAACAAAACAATGTCAAAATATATGACAACTGATTACTACAGCAAGCACTTGAAACCAGACATACCTCATCGGCCAAGACATTTCTAGTTTCACCAAACTCTCTTTTCAATGCAAGCTCCAACTGCAATATGTATAGGAACAAAACAATATATGTGTAAGATCTAGAGATGACCAATGGTAAACTGTCACAATCATAGAATGCTCAGTCTCAAACTAGAAGTGTAATCATCATAATCCCTTAACAGTTGGCTGAATAATAGTAGAAGTAAAACAGGGCACATTTGACACTACCAAAATTACTGCTTTCCCATTTGTGATTGATCCCTTTCTTTCACCTTGTCATAAAATGATAGTCCTAGTAGGGCATTTCCTCTATCATTACTCAAGAATCAATTTACCAATAGTGACAGAAACATGCAAGTGCTCAGTACCACGATGAAGTGAATACTCACTCAACCCAGTAGGGAAAGGTTAATTCAGAAATCCAGTTTTTTTTCTGTATGATTATGAAAGATATAATGGCATTCGTAGCTGACATAGCAATAGCCAATTTTAGAGACAGAACTGCAGCTTAGCATGAAACTGCATTCAGAATATCACTAGCTAAGTGTGCTTGATCAAAGGTAAGTTTCACTAGCTAAGCGTGTTTGATCCAGAGTCATGTTAGAAAACAAAGCAAGAAGACAGGTATTGATGATGTGTAACTTATGGGAAACGGCAAAAGGGAGCAAGCAGAAAATTGTATGTGTAACAAACCTGTATGGAAATGGTACTCCAATCCTGCAAGCTCTTCCCAAGCTTGCGCCGTTGCCATGCAGTGTTTGTACAGAGAATTTTGAGCAAGTTGATAACCAACTACAAGGTCATTAATGCACTTAATCAATGATATGCACGGAACTCCAGATATATATTTTTATGACTGCATGAGTAATATATATGACGTGAAGGTTGAAAAAGGAATAATCCTGGTGGCTGACCTGACCTAGCTGCACTACAAACTCATTAGACTGGAATTCCTTATCTCCTATAATATCCGGTAATGACAAAGCCCTTGAAATTACATCGCAAAACAAGTCTCGCCCATAAAGCTTGCCATCTTGAACCAATAAAGTCTGTTTCAATGGATTTTCACATCATTGTTAATGTAAGTGGGAAACAACAAACTATAACATAAGTAACTCACTGAATACATATTTGCCAGGATGAGACTTAGGATTGGGAAACAAATCATATTTCTACAAGAGAGGGCCTAATGGAACAGAAAATGAGCCGGCTAACAGCAATTCAGTGTTACAACATAAATGAATCCTTTACTGGACTAAGAAAACCTCAAAGCTATTTATATACCACCGAGGGATCAATTTATAAAGAAAAATAGTAATGAAACAGCAGTCTCCTAAAAATCAGTTATGGGTATAGGAACGAAACAAAGAAGGACACTCATAAAGTTGAAGTTCCCAAATCATACCAAATGAGAAAAAAAATCGAAGAGTAGCACTTACTGCATAACTACAACGTATGACATACTCCACAACCACAGAAAGCAATGGTTCATAACCAAATTTGTACAACAATCAGTTAAAGAACAGTTCATACACATATACAAATACAATTGAAAAACAGATGTTAAATGATAGAATCTACAAAACCTTTTCTATATCTAACATAGCAGACAGATATTAGTCATTTTTTGCAATCCGGGGGAAATAAAACACTAGTGTCAGATCAGTCAAAACATCTACAGCATAGCAGTGATAAAGATGGCCCTTGAAGCATGTCAGTGTGACCCACCTGAAGAAATGCTCTAGGAACCAAATCAGGTACAGATTTTTGGAACTGCGCAATGAAGTGAAGAACATTCTCAAGCACGGGATCAAGAGACAGAGCACAAATGATATCTAGATCATGCAGAAGCTTCTCAAAGTACCTAATTGCCTGTAACAATGAAGTTGACGCAATGCTTATGAAGTTGAAAAGGAGTATACAGAAGCTATTCAGTAGTATGGAAGTTTAAGCATCATTTATGGCACCGATGTGAACTTACATCACTCCAGGCAAGTATTTGAACAGCACGCGGTGGTGCTGGACTCAGAAGTCTGCTATTCAGACTGACATCAAAGCCAATAGGGCAGCAACCTGATGCAGTGGTGCAGCTTTCATCACCTTTTTGCGATGCAATGTCAGACCGAGACTTAAGGAACTCTTGGGACTTCAGCATTAAACTAAGCTCAGCCAAGCATGATGTAACATGCTTGCGAGCCAAATCCAATCCTCTTCCTTGAGGTTTCCTCATGCACGTAACCGCATGGTGAAAATGCTACATAACAACAAAAATGTGAAGACAGTCAGAAATCAATTAAAAACCTCTTACGTATCATCTTGCATGAGGTTTGCTCATGCACATGATGACATGGTAAAGTGCTACACGGCCATACAGACGTGTGATGACATTTAGAAATTGATGAAAACCCCTCTTAAGCATCATTCAGATGATCACCCAGAACTAAACTTGGCAATCATTTACGCAATCAGCTATGGTGGTCCTTATTTTCACATTCCCATATACTGAAAAATCAGGCGCTCCTAGGCGCGTGCTTAAGAGCGCCTAGGCGCTGGGCTGGAGGCGAAACGCCTAGCGCCTAATTGTGCTTAAGCATGCGTTTTGGTCAGAAACGGTCAAGACGGAGGCAAAACGCTCGCTCAGCGCGCAGCGCTTAAAAAACACTTGTTTCCCTATGATATATAAACATAACATTTAGTTTTAGCAACAATATCATAATTGCAATCAAAAAAGGCTTAGTTGTTGTTGTTGATCATAATCGCAATCAATGCATATAGTGGGTAAAGTGCTGTAATGCCGAAACAAACTCTATGTCCCTCCCCTCTCACTGACAAATTAAAGAGAGAAGTGAGAATTGCCACTCAATTCAATGACATTTCAGTCTCACTCAATTGTCTCAATGACAGTTGGTCAGAACCATCGAGTGGTAAATCGAGGTGCCAATGAATGCAGTGGCAAATTCTTAAAAACTTCCCAATTTAGATAGCACCAGTTTATAGCTTGACTTCCCATTGCTTAATTTGAAACCACCACGTTATCACAATAACAGAGCATAAGCTTAGATAATCAACATGATACACACATCAAGTATCAGCATTGACGAAATTAGACTGAACAACTGAAGTGAAGAATTGGAAAGGAAACATGGGTTAAGACCTTACGAAAACGTAATCTGCACAACAAGGCTCTGCAGTAACCCTCTTCCAGCTCAGGATTATCCTGCAGTGATTCAAACTCTGCAGTAATAAACTTTTTAGTTAATAACACAAAGCCTACAGCATATGTTCAAATCAAATAAGCAATTCAATAACTTCGCTTTTATTTCAAATGCCCAGCGTCCAAATTCTTTTATAATTTGGTGTCGCAATCTAAAGACTAAGTGGTATACATTTTAAGATGATGCACCAACTTACTTAGAAACTTCATATACAAAACAACTTGATGCAAACTAAGCAGCAGTCCGCAAATTTCCAAGCTGAAGGAATGTTAGTTGTAATTTTTTTTAAAAGCAGGAATATATGTTTAGTTGTATGTTTTGTAAAAGGCTGCAATTTCTCTTGGTATCGGCAAACTTATGTAACAGCTCAACATTACTACTGAAGCTAGGACTGAGGACCGTGACATACAAATTGATAAAACAAGGAACAAGGTTTTACACAATGTAAAATAATAAACATTTAATTGAATCAAAGGATATCTGCAATGGCAATACAAGTACCTTCTAGTGTTTTTTTCTTGGATAATGCTTGGGATTTACATGCACGCAATTGACGAGATATTGTTTCTTCGACCGAGTTCAGAACTGACAAGCACTTATCATCTCCTTCACCATTCAAAGGCAGTCCAAAAGACATCGTAAAGAGGTCTTCTTCCTACAAAAGCATACGATGAAGATCATATCTTATGTAATAAGTGGAAGTATGGGACTTAGATTAAAAACTAGATAAAAATGACTCATATTAACAAGACCAACCTGTATTCAAATTCGATTTTCATGCCATCCTCTAAGTTATGTGAACAGAACTCAACCGACAAAAAACCCTAGGTTGGACAGGAAAGCCAAAATCGGAACAGGACATCAAACCAAACAAGCCAAATTTCCAGTTAATTCAAGGTATGTTTTTCATTTCTTTTGGCAGTTAATGAAAAACAAATTCAGGTTTGCCGAATTTTGTTGTTTGGGCTGTGAGAAACCAAATTCACTGAAACAACCGAACTACCAGATTTACATCTTAATGAAGGTGCCTGTATTCAGTCCTAATGAAGTTCACCAAGATGATAAATATTTTTGAATCACCTTTTTAGGTATAGTAGATGAAAGAGCAGAGCACATACGCATTTCACTGGAAACATTGATCATACAGACAAAAAGATGAAAAGTGACGCATTACATATTCCGCTCATGAAGAGGTAGTCTGACATGGGGGGCGATGTTTTTGTTGCACAGGAATCTCCGCATTTCAACAATAACAATATGCGCCTACTCTTCGTATATAAAATTAATTACGAGCATAAACCAACATGCGCGGCTTCCTTATGTCAAGACTCAGTACACATAAATGAAATCAGGAGGAATGGCGATAGAAAAATTCCAAAAAGTACCTCATGAGTTCGGGCGGTCGAAACGACAGAAATGACAGAATTACAAGTAGCACGCAAAATCCTGCAGAAGCTATTTAGGACAGCATGCGATGAAATTCTCTCCATTTTCATAAGGTAGATACATGTGAAGACGGTTTGTGCTAGAGTGTGACCCTTGTGCCAGGTTGCCTGAAAAATAAAGCAGTCCCATAAAGTAGTTTAGCATAATTGAAACACCTGCTTATTAGACATGGTTGCACTGAAGTACCTCACATGAGAAAAGATGGTCGATGACATCAAGAGTTAGTTGAATGTCATGTGTTCTGTCCAAACTAAGTGGAACTGGGGCAATGCCATCTTCTATGGCTTCATCGATGGAATAATATCCACTTCTCTCGATTCCGGAATCCATTTTAGGGTCCATTATCTGTATCAAGACGAAATAGACGCAGAGAACCCAATTAAGCAATGGATCTAAATAATTAAATTGACATCCCACAAATTAAATGGTAAATGAGCCACTCGACAGGCCTATAATACCAAAGTATCCTGAAATAATATAATCAAAATTCTTTTATTTGCCTTTGTCACTATGAACTTGAAAGTTTGTACAGAGTCGTGATCAGTTGTAGTGAGGCTCAGCACTCAAGAGTAATTCCAAGCCTAAGGTGTACATCCAGAATTCAGATCAAAGCAACTCAAGTGCAAGTTTCATGCAACAAACTTGCATATCCAGAACTCATTATCAAAGCAACTCCAGTTCAAGCTTAATAGGGAAAAGTTTAAAAGCATCTACCGGTGACTTAAAAAATACCATGTCTACTCCCTCCATAAAGAAATATAAGAGCGTATAGATCACTACTCTAGTGATCTAACGCTCTTATATTTCTTTACAGAGGGAGTACATGTCAACTAATTAGAACCACTGGTTGCGTAAAATAATTTAGTAAACACAAAAACATCATTTGACACTCTGAAGTTTGCAACAGAAAAAATGAGAGTTGAAACACAGCAAAAGAGTAGGGGAGATAATGAGGTCCTTACTTCCAATGCAGACATTGCGGCAAACAAACTGAAGTTCTCCCCATGAACAAGTTCCCCATCTTGGAGATCTACAAGAATGAAGAAATTAGAAGGAGAACAGTTGATAAATATAAATTAACTAGCAGATATCAGCATCGACTCGATTTTCAGGTATCTGCTCAAATATGACAGTCCTAGATAGATTCACATCAAAAATTGTTTTGGAGTTATTTTGGGGAGACACATACCAATGACGGTGTCGTCACGCACAGGGCTAATCGAACCCAAGAGTCCACAAATCCACAACACTAGCCATAATAAGTTATATTTGGTTTCTAGTTTCTATAATCCAGTTGGGAAGCTATACATTATATCTTAATCAATCTTTTAGGTCCATATTATTGGAATTCTCTCTTATCAGGTGTTCAAGACACTGGTCTATAAAGAGAGACACCATTCATTACGAGCTCAAGCAAAAAATTAACAGATAACTGCCCCCACATTGGCACACTATGCGCAATTCAACTCAAAATAGGCACATAACACAGATCTAAGATAGATGCAAGCAAATAACGCGACTCCTAAGCCCTAAACTTAAGCTCAAGCCTATAATCCTAAATCCTAACATGAGTGAAGTTCTCTATTCTCAATGAGGTTACTCACTTCCTGTCTGTCCAGAATAAATGTTCTCTCAAAAATGACTAATGTCCTGTCTATTCTCAATAAGGATTGCATCAACAGAGTAAATTTTCAGTTTGTCCAGTCAGCACTAGTAATATAATATTATCCTGACCAACAATTCATATCATGTTGTTGAGAACAGACTTTGAACTCCTTCCCACCAACATAAATAAAAGGAGCGATCAATAGGTACGATTCACAAAAGTATTCATGTGTATCCTTCTAGGTAATCGTGGCTTGTGGACGATAGCTCCCTCCACCCCTCTAGCTCAACCCCAGGTAAGCCAAACCAGGGGCAGATCCAAGGGGGTAGATGAAAGCTCAGACACCACAAGCTTTGCCCCTTTCCAAATTCAGTGCATCCCTCACTGCACTGAGCTACAGTTGACTTCCACAATGGGGCACCAAAGAATAAGAACTAGTATGAATAGGCAACCAGCAAGGTTTTTTATTCTAAAAATCCCCATTACCATGCACAAGGCAATCTTGTGAAACCACTAAATGATAACATGAGTAATGGTATTTATCTGTTTTCAGCATTTAACAAGAGGAAGACGTGAAAATGTGATGTCATTATGTCCCATTCTGCTTGCATACCAAAGCAGAAGTCAAAATTTCAAAATATTAGGATCACGATCAGGTGACGTCACATAGTAGACACCCCAAACATGTTATCCATATGGCCATACCTCTCAAGTAGGGCAACAATTTGGTCACACATTAAAATTCTCAAGGCACTGCATGCAGCAACCTGAGGGCTAGTTGGGATAGGCATGGTTTACACTCAATCGCTTCAGATGAACAGGGATTTCGATTCAATTTTCCAGCCCATCCAAAGGTTGAACCGACTCCATCCAAACAAGCACCAAATTGGTTTGAAGAACCAAATAGATGCATACTTGGCGCAAACCACAATTTACACATCACCTAGGAATTACTCCCTCCGTCCGGAATTACTTGTCGTGGGAGTGGATGTATCTAGACGTATTTTAGTTCTAGTTACATCCATTTCTATCTATTTTTGCGACAAGTAATTCCGGACCGAGGGAGTACAAGAAAGCAACCCAGTGTCGGCATGTCTCTCATCTTCCGACCACTGGCCGATGCAAACCTGCTCCAATACATGAAACTGCATGCTCGCGGCAATGCATCCATGATACATGATACCGCATAAACTCACGCACACAGGACCGACTCCTAGGGACCTTGGTAATCGATTCTGTCAGGACGAGATCGATCGAGCCACTGTCCGTAGACCTGCTAACGCTCCCCGCTCTTCAAAATAGCTTGGTAGTAGTAGCTTTCAACGTCTCAGCAAATACGGCGGGGAGGCGGGTTACGGCGGTGGCTTACCAGCGCAGGCGGCGGCGATGAGCGGCGAGACGTCGGCCCAGACGGCCTGGTCGCCGGAGGGGGGTATGGAGGGCGGCGGCCCTGGCGCGGGGCCCGCGGGCGAGGAAGAGCTCGCCTCCATCGGATCTGGCCGGATGCGACTCGACTGCCCACGGCAACAATGGAGGTGAGCACAGCGGAGCGAAACCCGACGGCGGCCCGGGGAGAGCTAGGGCTTCCCTTACCAGCAGAA